ACCTTAACTAATATCTTAGCACTAGAAAACAATGATGTCTAGTAGAAATACGTGACTGCATTAAAATTTTCCCCTAGGTGTCTTTAGAGATGGAAAAAAGTAATAGATAATAATTGATCCAACAATATATTTATTAAGCTCAATATAGCCAAAATACTGTCTTTTCAAAATGTAATCAATTAAACAAATTGTTAATAAAATAATTTACATTTTCCTTTAATACTCTGTGCATATTTTATATTTATAGCACATCTTCATTTGGACTAAAACATTTCAAGGGTCCGATAGCCACGTGTGACTGACTATAAGTTATAGTAATGAACAGGGTAAGTCTAAAGTCATATTTCATATTATTTTATCAACATCATAGGCCTGAAGTCATGTTTGATATTACTTTATCAAATTAATTTGGTATTGTTATAAAATATAAAATACTATGTCACCATAAATGTTTCATTTTTTCTTTGATATTTTTCCTGATTATTAGAACATATTATTATTCAAAGAAAAGAAAAAGGAAGAGAGAGAGAAACATCATATGGTACAAACTGCAGCCTGGTGAATTAAAAGAAAAGGTTTATTCATAGCTTGATTTGGTGAGTTTCTGTAATACCTTAATTATATCAATAGTTCATCCCGCTAGAACTAGTTTTATTTGTTCTAATCTTTTGGGCTCCTACTGATGAATTAATAATAGCTTTGTTTCTTTTCATTTATGGCTTGATTTCTTGGTTCTTGACTCAATATAAATGAGAAAATACTATGAAGAGTATTCAATAGAAAATAACTGTCAGTTAGGTATGTTCCAATTTAGTCATTAAATGTATATTGTCTGTGTAAAAACCATCCCTAAATTTCAAGTTGTTAAATGTTAATTCAGGTGGTTATTTTTAGGGAACATTGGTTCTGTGCTTTTTAATTTGGTTGTGAATTGAATAAATGGGAGTTCAACTTTTAACTCTGTTTGAGTCTTAAAGTGCCACATAAATGGTGTAAACCACCTTCATTCAGCTCAGTCACACTATGTTATTCCAATTGCATACGGTAATTGCATTTTTTCCAGTGTCCCTATTTCTAATGGCCCAGTTCCTTTTCTTGAGGCAAGTTATTCACGGAAGAACCTCTTTAAGGTTAACTGCTATTTTTGCTGTTTAAATATTTTCAAAGTCTTTTCTTCTTAAACCCACAAAATTACTCTTTGTCTTAAACTCCCCTCTTCCAAAGATAGTTATCTATAGAGGCATAATGGATTTTTCCGTTTAGATAGCATCATTTACCACAATCTTTGTAGCACTCTAAAATTTTGGGGGAGTAATCTAAATATGAATTATACAAGCAATTTATGCCATTTAAGAGCCAGCATTTTCCTTTCTTATGCATGGTTTCTGTGTAAGGGTTCTACAGCTACTCACATAACAGCATCCCTCCTCATTAACAGCCACAACATAAACTTACCTCTGTGCAATTGAGAGTGGAGCAGGATGGGTGTATCCTGACTTAAGAAGGCATTTGCCACATGAGTATCAGCCTGCTATTTCTCAGGTAAGTTCTGCTTTCTTTAGATTTGCTTTCTTTTTTCTAAAACATCTAAAAGGTTTATAGCAAGTAAACATTATCTGTTTCTCAAGTATTTAATACACTTGAGAAATAATTAATAATTTAATAAACTGCAGATAGACGGTAGTCACAATCATCTTTCAGAAGGATGAAGATTGAGGGTAAGATCCAGCAGCGAGATTTGAGGTCTGAAGATGCAAATAAAAAACTAAAACATACGCTATCTTCTGTGTACCTTTCTGCTTTCTACATGCTAGATATCTTTAACTCCTTTTCCTTAATATGCTTTCATCAAAGTCAAAAACTTCTGTGTCTAAACACCGTCATTAAATACTGGTTTAAAATATACCATTTCTACAGCTTCTGCTAAGAATGAGCAGCCTTTCATCCCGTTACCGAAGTTCTAGTGCTTTTCAAGTATTATTGTCAACATTTCTAAAAGTTCGACATGGGAGGAAGAAAATAGATAAACTAACAAATGAAAGTAAAAAAAAAAAAAAATTACTCACATATGATCATTCGACTCATTTGTATGAATGAATGTTAACTCCTTTAATAGTACCTTTTTAGGTGTCATATAAAACCTAAAGCCTTGAACGCCGTAGGCAGTCAAGAAATATTTCACATAAGTTGTATGAAATTACCATAAGGCTCAGTAGCACTAGAAATTCTAAGGACAGTGTTTACTGTGGGAAACAAAGCCAAGTTTACATCTCAACCTTTCTGTAGGGAAATCATCAAGTTGTTTAGATTGCTGTTGACTTCTTGCTGTGTTTGGTTCACGTGGGTTCTCTTGAATCTTGACAGTCTTTCTTCTAATACTTGGTTTCCTGGTGCAACCTTAAAGTTCAACACCTGTTCCTCTGAAACAAAAATAAAAATGAATTGTAGACAAACCTCGCGATTCCCTGTTCCTATTAGAAAAATACATCTCCTAGTAGCAATTCCGAACAAAATTAAAGAAATTAAAGCTAAGTTAATGTTTTAAATGTTTTCATGTTTACATTAGTTAAAAGAATTATATTTGTGAGAGTATACTTTCAGAAACAAATTGTTGGGCTTTATATTTGACATATTCAAAACTCTCAAAATTGATATTTTCAGTATCTCATATGTTCATAGCCTTCATGTATCTCTGAAACCCAGTGAAATAATTTTTAAAAGATGAAATTTGTTTGTTTAATATAAGTAAAGAATGTAACAAATTGTTTCTTCAAATACAGCATATATTAGAAACTACATTTATAAATATACTAGATACAAAATGGTTTCCTTTTAAATAAGTCAATTCAATCCTTAATTAAAAGATGAACAGTACCGGGAGCAGTGGCTCACACCTGTAATCTCAGCACTGTAGGAGGCCGAGGCAGGTGCATTGCTAGAGTCCAGGAGTTCGAGACCAGCCTGAGCAACAAGGCAAAACCACGTATTTACTAAAAATACAAAAAACTAGCCAGGCACAGTGGTGCACACCTGTGGTCCCAGCTACTCAGGAGGCTGAGGTGGGAGAATCACCTGAGCTCAGGAGGTCAAGGCTGCAGTGAGCTGAGATTGCACCATTGCAGTCCTGCCTGGGCAACTGGAGAGAGAGCCTTTCTTAAGAAATACAATTTTTCAAATATTAAAAAAAATATAGGAGAAAAATTTTCTACAAACATAGAACATGTATATCTTAGCATTTAATAGCCCTAAAAACAAAATAACCCCAAATCGTTAATATTTTTTCATGCATACAATAAAATGATCTTAAACTATAGGTAAAAATGTAGCCATCTGAGGTTCAAAATCAACTTGCATATTAGGATTTCTTTTTCTTCTAAATTCAAATGTTCTTGGAAGGTTTCTACACTCTACTTAGCTACAGTTCCCTGGACTCCCTATAATTTGTAACAAAGACTTTACACATTTAATCCACCTGGCCTTTGAAAACTGAGAGTGTATTTGGCCTGCCTTAAGGTTAGGAGCAGTCATTTTCTCAGCGAAACTGTTTGGACAGGGTTTGGAGTCAGTCTTATCTCCAGCAGCAACAGGAGAGTTCTCCACCTACAATGAAGCCATTCAGCAATCGATGTACACGTTTAAAATATTTAATACCAAAATCCAGTATGGAATTAGGGCATTGGAGGTAAGCCAATGATTTTATATGCATGTTATCATATTGTAATTTAGGCCCTGATACTCTCCCTCTTAAATGAGATGGGCTTTTGCAGTTATGCATCCAGCAACATATTGTCAAGGATAAATAATTTCAGACACTATTTAAAGCAATAAGGGTGGATTTAACTCAGGAACGCTGTTGCAATAAGGAAGAGTCCGTCATGAACTGAACTTACATCCCAGCAAACAAAGGCAGGAAACCTTTTACACATTTGGGTGTGGTAAGGGAAAGGTATTGACTGATGTGAAGGGGCCAAGTTCATGTGATCAGGCCACCTGGATTTGCTTATTGGGAGGAGAAACAACTGTTTGTCTTTATAGCAAGTTGAAGTTAGGTGACCACCAATGGTAGGCCTTTATACTTTCACCAAAACTGGGAGCTAGATGGAGAGAGTCAGTCCTCTTACTATCACCATTGCAGAGATGGCTCTCAGGTCTTTGAGGAAACAGTTTTGGTTGGTAGGTTTGCATCTCAAAACACAGACGATCATGTTTGGTGGCTCATGGCAGTAATCACAACATTTGGGAAGGAGGTTGGAGGATAGCTTGAGACCAGCCTGGGCCCAAAGCCAGATACTGTCTTTACAGAAAATTAGCTGGGCCTGGTGGCATGCTCCTGTAGTCCCAGCTCCCCAGGAGGCTGAGACAGGAGGATGGCTTGAGGCAAGGAGTTTGAGGTGACAGTGAGCAACGGTTGTGCCCCCACACTTCACTCCAGCCTGGTTGACAAAGCAACACTGTCTTAAAAAAAAAAAAAATACCACAAAAAGGATTGATAATTGCCAGATTTCTAAAGTAACTTCCCTGTTGGGAAAAGCAGCAAAGGAGAAAGGACTTACAGAGTGCCTACATAAATTGGTTATGAGTAACACACAAACAAGCAACAACAAACTGCGGAAGGCCGCAGGAGGGAGGCCTCTGAGGAGGAAGGCCTCTCCATGCCTCATGTTCCAGTGCAGGGTGACCTCGGCTCTGTTACCATGAACATTGTGCTCAAGGGCTAAAACCCCTTGGTAGCACTATGACGTAGCCAGACTTGTAGGCTCCTTGTAAGGCCCAAGTTCCACCAGCTGCACATAGATAATAAGTTAAAGAAAACCTCATGTTCTTGTTTTGTGAGACTCCCAAACCGCCACTGTTATCAAGCCTTAGGATGACACACCAGTTCCGGCTCACTGATTCACTCCACCATCACTCCACCCCTACCCCATAGATCAAACAGTGTGGATGATCAGAGCTGGGGGCCTTCACTGTCTCCTCCAAAGTAGTGAGTAATAGTCCCCTGGTCCCACTATTTCTCTTAATCTGTCTTTTTCTCATTCCTTTGTTGCCGCCGAACACAGGGTACCCACGGGTGACGTAGGGCAGGCTCCCTACATTCTGGTGCCCAGTGTGGGGCTCATGGATCCCTGCACTTCCCTAACAGGGGATTGAGGCAGGTATCTACCGACCACCAGGTTTTAGCTGGAGCGAACAGGACATTTTCCTGGCAACACTGAACTTTCTCAGGCAGATATTTTAAAGGTGGTCATCTGAGGGGCACACAGCTGTCTGCTGCTAGAAGCCATGCTAGAGCATGGCCAAGCATCACAGCGCAGACAGTAGTATGGGTTTGTACTATGTTAAGAGTTCCGTAGTTCTCAGTATTTTGTTATTTGTGTATATCTGCCTTTGTTGGATTATTTTCATTCATTACATTTTATTTGACAGATGTATCTCAATTTTAGTTCATTATCACAACTACAAAAGAAAGTGAGGGTGGGAGTGGATTAAATATAAAGTGATAGTGTATGTATATTTCTCCTGTAACTGTGTATCTGTGTGTTCTTAAGAAGAGAAGTCTCACTACTATATAGGAAATGAGGAGTGAGCAGGGATACTCCTAGAGTCTAACCTGAGTGTCAATGATAACTTACTGTGTGAACTGGGAAAATATTCTTAGCGTTTATGTCTCTTCCCTATGATCCAATAGATGAGGGGAGTTTGATTAAATAATGTCTAAAAACTCTAAAACTCTGTGAAGGTATGTGTCTAATTTAATGACATTATCAATTATGTCTAAATACTATGAAGTATTTAGCTATTTAGCATGCCAGAGGATGCAGTATTTTTCTAAACTTTCAGATGTAAGTCAAGCATGATGGCTTTATGGAGATGGCTTTTGCAGAAAGCAATTGTAAGGGCATTTCTCACTTCAGAATATTTGAGATCAGTCACAAGGATACCCTAAATTCATTCAGTTATTTGGAACATTTCATTCTGCACTTCCTGTACATGATATGATTTATTTTCAAGCCACATGTTCAAATTGGATACATTATTCATTCATTTGTTCAGTGATTCAGTTGTTTACTTAGTTGTTTCTTATTCCATAGCTTCTTAAAAGTTTATAAGTAGTCTCATAATATTTTACTGAATACAGATAGAGAACATAACAGTTCCCACTATATATATTGAAGCTCATGTATAAAAATATTTACAACATAAAATATGGACAATCACTAAATTAACTTCACTTTGCACTAGTCATTTTTAAAATTTACCCAAATAAGGAAATTATTTTAATGCTGTAATTTTGAGGATTTGCTTCATCTAGCAAATTTAAACATAACTATGTATTAGCTAGCTTTTAATAGCACGTATTTTTTTCTGATTAGAAAGTCATATATAGTTATTGCAGAACATTAGGAAAATATGGAAAACATGAAGATATTTCCAATAAAGATATAAATAAAAAATATAGGATAATATTCCACATTAAACTCTTTGTATTATTTTTAATTTCAAAGTAAAGAACACAATCTTCAGAACACTATTATATATTAACAGTCCAAGAACTGTAACTACATAAAGTCTTCCTAGTAAGAAATATTAAAAAGAACAGCTGGTCTCAAAGGCACACACTGGATGTGTCAATCCATTCTATATATATTTCCCACATTTTTACACAGCTGCAACAATTTTGTTTTTATTTATATGAATTTCTCAGTGTATATCACTTCTCTGAAATCTACACATTCACAATTAAGCCCAGCAAGTCATAATTCTCATTACGACTTACTTGTCCACTCATCTTGACCCTTTCTATATAGATTTGATATTGGCTGTCAATCACTATTTAGCTTTTCATGAATCAACATTGCTTTCTTCCTGATAAACTAACTTTTCTTTTGTATGCTTCTCAGAACAGGACCATGGACAAGAGGATTAGTAAATGTGCTCTCTCTCTCTCTCTCTCTCTCTCTCTCTCTATATATATATATATATATATATATATATATATATATATATATGTGTGTGTGTGTGTGTGTGTGTGTGTGTGTGTATGTGTGTGTTTATTTCACTTTAAGTTCTGGGATACATGTGCACAACTTGCAGGTTTGTTACGTAGGTATACATGTGTCATGGTTGTTTGCTGCTCCTTTCAATGCGTTACCTAAGTTTTAAGCCCTGCATGCATTAGCCATTTGTCCTGATGCTCTCCGTCCCCTTGCCCCACCTCCTAAAGGCCCCAGTGTGTGTTGTTCCTCTCCCTCTGTCCACGTGTTTTCATTGTTCAACTCCCACTTGTGAGTGAGAACATGCGGTGTTTGGTTTTCTGTTTCTGTGTTAGTTTGCTGAAAATAATGGTTTCCAGCTCCCTCCATGCCCCTGCAAAGGACATGATCTCATCCCTTTTGTGGCTTCATAGTATTCCATGGTGTATATGTACCACAGTTTCTCTATCCAAACTATCACTGATGGACATATGAGTTGGTTTCATGTCTCAGTTACTGTAAATACTGCTGAAATAAACATATATATGCATGCATCTTTAGAATAAAATAATTTATAATCCTTTGGGTATAGAACCAGTAATGGAATAGATACTTGTGTATGCTTCATGAATTTCTCATGATGCATTTTGAGCTTTATCAAGGTTATTAGCTTATTTACATTGGGTTAGAACATGCTCCTTTATCTCAGCAAAGTCTGTTATCACCCACCTTCTGAATCCTACTTCTTTAAGTTCATCCATTTCATCCTCCTCCCAGTTCTGCTTCCTTGCCGGAGAGGTGTTACAATCATCTGAGGAGAAGAGGCACTCTGGCCTTTTGGGTGTTCAGTGCTTTTTCATTGATTCTTTCTCATCTTCATGAGTTTGTCTAGTTTTGATCTTTGAGGCTGCTGACCCTTGGATGAGGTTTTTGTGAGGACTTTTTTTGTTGATGCTATTGTTGTTGCCTTCTGCTTGTTTTGCTTTCAATACTGAGGCTCCTCTTCTGCAGGGTTGCTGGAGTTTGATGGGGGTTCACTTCAGGCCCTATTCATCTCCCATGCCTGGAGATATCACTCGAGGAGGCTGGAGAACAGTAAAGATGGAGGCCTGCTCCTTCCTCTGGGATCTCTGACCTCTAGGGACACCAATCTGATATCAATAGGAACTCTCCTAAGATGTCTGATAGCCCCTATTGTGGAGGTCTCACCCAGTTCAGTGGCTTGGGAAGCAGGACCCATTTAACAAGGCATTTTTGCTGTCCCTTGGTTGAGGGAGTATGCAGCACTGTGGGGAAACCCACTTGTCTGGCCTGCACAGATTCCTCAGAGCTAGCAGGAGGAAAGACAGTCTGTTGGTCTGCAGAGCCAATAGCCAGCTGCTCCACACCACCAGGGGCTTAGGCCCAGAGAGATCAGAATTCTGTCCCTGAGACCCTGAATTGAGTTGGAGTTCCTGCAGGGAGGCCCTGCAGCTGCAGTGTTGACTGCCATCCTTCCTGCAAGGAGCTCAGATGACTTAGACAGAAGGCAGCCACAGCAGTGGTGATGGCGGCCCATCCCCCCAGGAAACTGGTAGGCTTAGGTCAATTCTATTCCAGTGGCTGTTGAGAATCTGCTCTGCTCTATAGTTGAGACCTAAGGCCCTAGCGGCATGAGCTCCTCAGTGGGATCTTCTGATCCACAGTTTGCACAGCTCCATGGAAAAAGCACAGTTTCCCAGGCTGGGTACCACACTCACTCACTGCCTCCCTTGGGTGGGGGGTGGGGGCTTCCCTCCCCCATGTAGCTCTCAGGTGGGCCACAGCACCACATTGCTCTTCCTTCTTCTCTGTGGGTCAGACCAGCCACCTAGTCAGTCCCAATGACAGAACCTGAATACTTCAGTTGTTGGTGCAGGATTGGCACACTGTTTGGGATCTTTTAGATGGGAGCCTCTAATTGCTGCTGCTTCTAGTTGGCCATCTTGGCCCCGCCCCAAATGCTATATCCTTTATGGGTCTGATGACAAATCTCTAAGTCTGCTATAGAGAAGAATGAAGTCATGAGATAACAACAAAAAACTTTTCACTCACTAAGAAAAGATGCATTTTTACCAGCAACTGAGTTCAAGAAGGTTTAGATAATTGTGAAAAGTGGAAAATACCAGGTCTTCTCTCACATCCTCTTCACAAAAGTTTGGAGATAATGCAGGGCAAAATATATGTCAGTTGCACATTTTTTTAGACTAATTTAAAATAATTAGAACAGAACGCATATCCTATTTTGTGAATACATTTAAATATATATATATATTTTTAAGTCCAGGTGTTTGTTGAGGTACTTGGGTCTCTGGAGGAAATTAATCATGGTATGTTTTATATGAGGAGGTAAAATGCCCAAGAAATACTCAGAAATAAAGAGCCAATGAAAATAATAAAGAAAGTCAAAGTCCAAATTGCATATTTTCATTTAGAACTGTTAGAGGTTCATAGTGATTCAAAACAAAAGACAATATAAACTTTTTTATTGATCATAATTTTTATTTGCTGAGAAGAGTCTCACTCTATCCTCTTATAATATTTGGTGCATATATTTATTATAATATTGGTCATGTGTTTTGGATAAAAATGAATGTAGATACCATATACTCACAATGGTATACAGATCATGGCCATCACAAAGCAGGATGATATTTCACTGTGGGTCTAGCCTCTAAGGTGACTGGTAACTATCTGTGTCACAGAATTATAAAAAGTAAAATTGCATATTTAAAGCTTTTACAAATTTCTTGACATATGGTAAGTAAACATTCAATAAACTATGGCTGTTTTTACAGGGAGAGCTTTTTTAGGTTATAAGTGTCCTGCAAGTTTTTCTCTTTCTCTAAAAAACTAAAAAAACATAAACTATTTTAGAACAGTTTTAAAGATAAAGAATATGTATAGTAAAACCATTTTCTTGAAGATTGATAGCAGCATTAGACATTTGGCAAAGGGAATCAGACCTCAGCTAGTTCAGCGCAGTTAAGATTGATGAAAAAGAAATTAAGAAAGCAATCCCATTTACCATAGCTAAAAAAAAAAAAAAAAAAAAAAGGATAATTTAACCAATAAAGTGAAAGATCTTTACAATGAAAACTATAAAACACTGATAAAGAAATTGAAGAGGAATCACATACAAAATGAAAAGACATTTTATGTTTATGAATTGGAAGAATTAACATTGTTAAAATGACCATACTACCCAATGCAAGCGACAGATTCAATGCAATCCCTACCAAAATGTCAATGACATTCTTCACAGAAATAGAAAAAAAATCCTAAAATTTGTATAATATGAAATCACAAGAGACTCAGTATAGACAAAGCAATCTTGAAACAAAACAACAAAATTGAAGGCATTGCACTATCTGACTTCAAAATGTACTACAAAGCTAATGTAACCAAAACAGCATGGTGCTGACACAAACACAGACACAAAGACCAATGAAACAGAATAAAAATCCCAGAAATAAATCCACATATTTACAAACAATAGATTTTCTACAAAGGCACCAAACATACACTGAGGGAAAGGACAATTTCTTCAATAAATGATCCTGGGAAAACTGGATATCCGTATGCAGAAGAATAAAACTACACCTCTATTAACATCAAAAATCAGCTCAAAATAAATTAAAGCCTTAGATGTAAGTCCTGAAACTACTAGAAAAAAACAGGACAAATGCTTCAGAACATTTGATTTTTATGGATAAGACCGCAAAAACAGAAGCAAAAAGAAAAATAGACAAATGGGGTTATATCAAAATAAAAGGATTCTGCACAGTAAAGAAAGCAAACAACAAAGTGTAGAGACAAGCTACATAATGGGAGAACATATTTGCAAACTAGAGATTAATATCTGGAATATACAAGGATCTCAAACAACTTAACACCAAGAAAAAAATAAGCTGCTTTTAAAAACAGGAAAATGATCTAAACAGACTTTCTTGAAAGAAAACATACAAATGGCTAACAAGTATATTAAAAATGCTCATCATTACTAGTCATCTGGGAAATGCAAATCAAAACCACCTTGCAATATCATCTCACACCAATTAGAATAAATAGTGTCAATGTTATGAAAAATAACACGCTGGTGAAGATGCAGAGAAACAAGAACTCCTATACACCCTTGGTGAGAATGTAAATTAGCACAGACATTGTGAAAAACCTTATGACGTTTCCTCAAAAAATTAAAAATAAAACTACCATACAATCTAGCAATCCCACTACTAAGTACATATCCAAAGAAAAAGAAATTTGTATGTCAATGACATATATGCACTTTCATGTTTATTGTAGTACTAGTCACAATAGTCATGCTACAGAATCAACTTAAGGGTCTATCAACAAATGAATAAATAAAGAAAAGGTGGTGTATATGCATAGGAGAAAATAGCCATAAAAAAGAATAACACACTGTCATTCAAAGCAATATGATGAGTCTGGAGGACATGATATTAGATGGAATAAGCCAGGCACAGATATATAAGCAATGCACGTTTTAACTCAAATCTGAAAGCTAAAACGTTGCCATAGAGTAGGAGAGAGTAAAATAAGGTGTACCAGAGTTTAGGAAGGATAGTGGGAAGGGGAGGATAAGAAAAGTTTGGCTAATAGATACAAAATTATAGCCAAATATGAAAAATAAGTCTAGTGTCCCATATCACTGGAAGGTGACTATAGTTAACCCTGATTTCTCATAGACGTTCAAATAGCTGGAGAAGATTTTGCTTATTTCCAGCACAAAGACATAATAAATATTTGGGGTGAAGGATATGTTAATTATCCTGATTTGATTATTACACATTGTATTCATTTATCGAAATATCACAATGTACCCCAGACAGAAGAATAATTTTGTGTCAATTAAAAATAATCATAAAATAAAACAATTATATACAAACACTTTATGAAGATTATGTACTTAAATTATGATTTTTATTTTATTATAGACCAAAAAGACAAAAATGTCTCTTCCATTATGGTAACTTCCCAAAAAAACAAGACACTCATTCTAAAGTAGGGCTTTGTCATAAAGAGCACTGGGCACTAAATAAACGATTAGAGGGAGATAACACTACACCAGGAGGGCAGACAAAGCCAGTCACATAAGGCCTGGCAGATGCTTCTGACTAATCATTCCCCTACAGATAAGGAAATGCCTATTAAGTATTTCGAGTTAGTATTTGCATGTTTTTTCTCTTTATGTAGGTTTGTTATAGTTTTTGTTTTTATAAAAAGATGGTGTAATTTCAACAACCCTTATATATATATATATATATAAAATTTTGGACGTGTGTGTGTGTGTATATATGTATATATATACACACACACACATCCAAAATTTATACATCTACCTGAAAGACTTTTCCAAAGATTGTACAAGACAACTATGAATCCCTAATGAATGTACAACTAAGCACTCGCAGCCCCTATTCTCATAGTTAGTTTTGGACAGATATCTTTTTTGGTTGGTTTTGCCAGCCATTTCAAAACTCCTCCCTTTCTGTAAAGGCTGACTGTGAACCCTCATTCTCTGTGAATGTTTGTGTTAAAAGAATTGTGGAGAGTGGTGAAAGTTTGAGAAACTACTACAATCTTAAACAAAATTACACAGAAAAGGCACCCTGGGGGTAATACTCTCACCATAAAGAATCTGTAATAATCTCACAGATTCTTTATGAAAGATGCCACAAAAAAGCTGAAGCTGCTTGTCCCAAAAGACGAGATGTGACTCCACTTGCATTTATTTATCTGAGATTTTTGTATCCATACATGAATTTACCATTTTAATCATGGATTTGTTAATTATTTTAAGCAAATTTTATTTTTTCTTTTTAAATGAATGGTTATGTAAATAAGATTCATTTTGTTAATATCGGGTTTTAAGTAATACTCATTTGTGTGTGGTTACCCTATTCACATTTTAAATCATTGGTTTTTTGTTTTGTGTTGTTTTGTTTTGTTTTGAGAGGGAGTCCTGCTCTGTTGCCAGCCAGACTGGAGTGCAGTGACGCATTCTTGGCTCCCTGCAATCTCTGTCTCGGGTTCTAACGAGTCCCCTGCCTTAGCTTCCCAGTAGTTGGGACTACAGGCATGCACCATCGTGTCCTGCTAATTTTTATTTTTAGTAGAAACAAGACTTCACCATGTTGGCCAGAATAGTCTCGATCTCCTCACCTCATGATATCCCCGGCTTGGCCACCCAAAGTTCTGGGATTACAGGTGTAAACCACCACGCCCAGCATTTAAATCATATTTTTAAACTGAGCTTCTTATCTTCTACCTACAACTGTTTATATTCATGTTTAAAATAAAGAATAGAAAGAAAAAATGCAACACTAAGGTTCTGATGTGCGTGTCGAAGCAAAATTTGCTCCAAAGTAAAACAGGTAAGAAAGACTTCCCTCAAGGCTTTGCATGAAGGGGAGAGTCTAAACTCAGCTCAGCTGAAACAAAGGATGGGAGAGTTTCTAAAACTATACAGGAGGAATATGTTCCAGGGCAGCTTATCATGGAAGATCACAGGCCATCTATATTTGTTAATTTACCTCACCCAAAAGAAAAGTCAACTTTGTCTTTTTCATAGGAAGTAATTTTACAGCTTGGAGAAACATGCCCACTAAACTTGATTCCTTTCCTCCCACAGAGACTGGGAGACAGCAGTGCCATCTTCCTTAGTGATTACATAGCAAAGGATGAGTCTCAGGTCGTTGAGAAAGGCAGTCCTAGGTTGTTAAACTGGGCGAGAGGCTTCTGAAAAGACTTGCAACCAAAGATACAGAGAAAAAAATTACAAGTTTTCTAAAGTAAATGTTCTCAGAAAAGCGAGATCAGGGCCTGATCCATGTTTAATCCATGTTGGTCAGATATTTCTCCAGCAGAGAGTGAGTTCCTTGAGGACAGCAATAAACAGAATGTACAAAGTTCAGGATTTGAACTTTAATCCTAAAGATAGGATTCTGACTCACAACCTTTGCAGCAACAAGATCAGAACTTGTTCTAACTGCCAGCTTCCCTAATTTTTGTGCCTAATTTCAATTTAGAACCAACCAGAAAAAGCCAAATATGTTCTCCTGACTGAGCACATAGGTTGCTGTTT